TCTATCTATCTATCTATCTATCTATCTATCTATCTATCTATCTATCTATCTTATTATCCATCCATCCATCCATCCATCCAATTTTTGCACTTTTCTGTTTTCCTTTTTACATTTGTATTAGTTCCTATTAGTTTATCTTTGTATTTGTAAACTCTAATAAAATTTATTATTTAACAAAAAAAGGAAGGATAAATTATTTCCCTCCCTCCTCCCTCAAGATCCTGGCTGAATAAGATAAGAGTCAGAAAGTCAATGATCATTGGAGGGAAAAATCATTTTGTGAATGCCATGAACATCTGTCTAGTCTAGTCTAGTCTATCTACCTACCTACCTACCTACCTACCTACCTACATCTATCATCTATATCTATCATGTATCTTATCTATCTCTATCTAGCTAGCTATCATCTTATATCATCTATATATCATCTATCTATCATCTTTCTATATCATCTATATCTATCTATGATCTCTCTATCATCTATCTATAGCTATCTATCATGTATCTATAGCTATCTTTCTATTATCTATATCATCTATCCATATTATCTTTCTATATCTATCATCTATCTATATATAGCATCTCTATCATCTATCTATCATCTCTATCATCTATCATCTATATCTTTCTATATCTATCATCTCTCACTATCATCTATCATCATAGATAGATCTATCATCTATCATCTATCTATATCAATCATCAATCTATATCTATCTATCTATCAATCATATTTCTCCCTCTCTCTCTCTCTAATTTGCCAAACACTGATTTTGCAGAGAAAGGCTAAAAGAACAGAGACGACACACATTCGTTCCAGGCATCATTTATTGAAAACACACCAAACTGTTAAACCTACACACCTGGTTTTCATCAAGCATTCTACTCGTCAGGGTTACGGAAATTTCCTAGAATAATATTAATACATTCGGGTTACGTTAAACATTGGTTGTGTGAAAGCAAACTCCAATCCCCCACTCCCTCTAGCCCTCCCACCGAACTGATCTGTTTGTTGTACAGTACAAATACAATGCATAAAAGGAACATCACACCCCCAGCCTAAAACTACCGCATTGGTTCTTGGGAAGGTTACAGAAAGACAAGTGTCGATTTCACTCGAGGGTTAGGGTTCTTCCCTACCCTTCACCTCAATCCCTAATCCCCCCGACAAGAAAAAAATTTAAGGCACATGATTGTTACAAACACATTGATTAGGGGTTAGATGTTTGGTTTCCCACAATACCTGACCTTATGTTGGGCACGAAGGGTGAACACACTCGTATCATGATTCCACTCTCAAAGTGGTTTTTGCTTTTAAAGAAAAAAAATCTCGCTTGCCCTGAAACCATTTCTTTCTTTCTTTCTTTCTTTCTTTCTTTCTTTCTTTCTTTCTTTCTTTCTTTCTTTCTTTCTTTCTTTCTTTCTTTCTTTCTTTCTTTCTTTCTTTCTTTCTTTCTTTCCCAAGCTATGATCTTTCCCCCTCCCCAAGAGTCATCTGGCGGTTTAAAAACATGAAACATATAAACATTTTACAGGCTTATCATTGTCTGAGACCAATTCCTCCCCCCACACCCCCCGAGATTGTTCCCAAAATTGGCGCATCTCTGCTGCAGAACAACACCCATTTAGACACCGTTTGCACGCAACTGACTTCGTTATCACCTCACTTAACGTGTGTTAGCAGAAAAGTTGGTAAGAGTCCTGGCACAATCCAATGTGCTGTACCACTGCAGACTGCGGAGACGCTCAGCATTAAGCGGTTTGCACCATATGTAAAGCAAATAAACGACTGAAAAACAACAACAAAATTAACGCTGAGCGCATGGCAAGCTAGCACGGTAAGGCACAGGATGGGCTACACCCGTTGTTGAAATCTCCACAAAATATCTTGAGGCTAAAACTTCCTAGCAAGAAACTTGGGGTCAAAGTTTATGGGACCATTCCCCGTAGTAAAGATTTATCAACCCAGTCACGGTGCAGTTGAGTTTGCCCCAGTGGCTAAGGAAGATACACCCAGGATTCCATAGTAGCCTCTTAAAACCTGTGGTGGGATCGACCCTCAGGCCTCTACCTGGTGAGCCCCCAGACCCTATGGTCATAGGCCAAACCCATGACGAGGTGCAGCGAATCCTCTATTCGAAGTGGCACAGAAGACAACTCCAATACTTAATCAAGTGGAAGGGCTACCCATTATCAGAGGCATCTTAGGTAATGAGTAGGAACGTCCAGGCCAATTGACTTATAGCAAGATTCCAAGCAGAAAGTCCATTCAAGCCAAGGGAGATTTCACAACCCTAAATTCTACATCTGCACTCCATTTGATTTTGCTTTATACAGGTCACCTTCAAGAAGTGAGAGGAGCCGCATGTAATGATAGGTGCTACTCGACTTACGATTGGCCATTTAGCCAGTCTACTTATAAACCCGGTTTCAAGGTTTCAGGGGCCTTTCTCCCATGCTCGATCGTGGGAGCCACATTTGTGTCCGTTCGCACTAACCCAAGACTGCGAATTTTTTTTGGGGGGGGGCGGGGGGTTACTTCTGATTTCTGACAAAAACATGCCCATTGGCTGAAATGGGTTCATCGAATGACCATTTCAAAAGACTCTAAAAACGTGGAGACCCACTTAACAACAGACTTGATTGATGACCCAAATTCAGGGTTCAATTATGGCCGTCGAGGACCATCTATACAGGCAGTCCTTGACTTACAACAGTGTCCACTCATAAAATACTACTATGGTCTTTTTAGGGTTGCCAACAGAAAGGGAGCGGGGAGCAGTGCAGCAGTTTGCAACATCGAAAGTGCATTCCACAAATGTTTTCAAAGATAGTAACTAGGTGACTGAAGTTTCTGCCACGCAAAATTCTAACTGGAGAGCATGATTGATGACTCTTGGCTATGGATGTGTCCCAGTGGAGAATATGAATTATGATACACCCAGAGGGGTGGGGCGAAAACTAGGGTCAAGGGTGACAATGAATGATGTATCTCAGAGTCGGCTGCACCCAGGCATGTTAACTCCCAATAAATCCTTTTGAAGTTTAGGAAGTTTGGCTCGAGACTCATGATTTAATTGGGGGTAACTGCTGGAATCCCGACAAAGAGTTCATTTTGTGGGCATTCAAGGTTACAGCGGCACTGGAAAAAAAAACAGGACTGTTTTTCACACTTACGACCGTTGGCAGCATCCCCATGGTCACGTGATCAAAATTCAGACACTTGGCCACTGATTCATATTTATGATGGTTGCGCACTGTCTTTGGCTCACACGATTCCCCTTTTGCGACCTTCTGACAAAGCAAAGTCAATGGGGAGACTAGATTCACTTAACAACTGGGTTACTAGCTTAACAACGGCTCTGATTCACTTTAACATCTGTGGCAAGAAAGGTTGTCAAATGGGGCGAAACTCACTTAACAAAAGTCTCACTTAGCAAACTGAAATTCAGGGCTCAGTTGTGGTCGTAAGCCAAGGAGCACCAGTTATTTGAATTTTACTTGCGTATGCAACAGGATACAGTGTTTGTGCCTTAGCTTTTAATTTTTCCTCACAAGCACAGATGGACCAACCTAGATATTTTAATTTCTTCCACATTCTTTTTAAAAACGAACACAATTTCCCGCCAAAAATCAAGCCAAACGACACAACTAATCCAATGAAAGACACAGAGACCAAATCCTAATCTTTAAAATCAAAAGCAATGTTAAATTAGATTTGTTTTCTCCCAAATGTCAGTTTGTAAAAAGAAGAGGTACCTCTGAATTTCCCATTGGAGGTATATAAATATCTGTTTTCTAATCCAGTGCATTTCAACTTTAGCAACTTTTATGATACGTGGACTTCAATTCCCAGTATTCTGGGAGTTGAAGTCCACGCACCTTAAAGTTGAGAAAGATTCTTCTAATCTACGTTGCCTGAAACTCATCTCTGCTTGCCCCAGTTGCCTACCCAAACCCCAACTCTTCCAGAAGTTTGCCACTCTTGATTGTGACCCACTCCAAGAACGCAAACACTACACACTAAAGAAAAATCAGACACAAAAGGTGCATTGCAACGGGAAGAACCTTGGCCACACAATGTTTGCCTATTGAAAAAAACACAAAAGAAACGCACGAGAAAAATGCATGCACATTTTCATGCAGGCCCATTTTTATTTTTATTTTATTTTTTCCCCAGGTTGGAGTTGCAAAGAAAAAAAGCAGAAATGAGGAAAATGAGCCAGGCCAGAATTGATAGGGACATGCATTCGTTTCCTCTTGTTAATTCCTTTCCGGTGCCATCTGGCTGTCTTAAATAACACCATCCACCCCAAAACTCTCTTGATATTTCGTCTACCACCTCAATCTCTTCACACACGTTCAAGTCTGAGCTCTGAAGAAGGCCTGGTTATTTTGGTTGGCAAAAACGCCACCATGAATCCCACGGGGGACAACAGAACTCTTTGATCCAGTCAAAAACACAATGCATTTCGGCAGAATGCATTCCAAGGATTTAAGATATGGATCTCCACAAAGGAAGATAACCATTCTCGGCACCTACCTAAAGCAGGGTAGCAACGGATGCAAGTCTAGGTATGATGCTAGATCTCACCACCTTCTTGAACGATATTTCTCCAAACTTTCTGAGCTTGGTTGTTTTCTGGCAGACGTTTCATCACCCAACTAGGAAACATCGTCAATCATCAACATCTTTTAATGACCCCATAATCCCTTGCAGAGTGGAGTCTGGGAAACCGAGTGGAGCTAGCAGAGTGTTTTAATGGCCAGATGCCTTTCCTGTCACCAGTGTGGAGTTTTGTTTAGCAGATTATATTCTCATGGTGCCCAGAGAGAGAATTATCTGCCTCTACCTGGGATCGAACTCACACCCTCCCAATTGTGGGGTGGGAGCTGAACCTCTAGGCCACTGCAACTCTCAGGTAACATCATCAATGCTGAGTGCTAACATCATGAGCGCTGGATGATGTTACCTAGTTTGGGTGATGAAAAGTCTGCAAGAAAATAACCGTGTTCAGAGAGCATGAAGAACCCCTCGTTTCAACCCTGAGCTAAAAACATTCTCCTTTCGTGGTATTTCTCCAAACCTTTGTGGACAAACAGAATCTAGACAGGCTGCACACAGCCCACTCTGGATCCCTAATCCACAAATGAGACAGAGAAGAGAATGGAGGCTCTCATCTTACACAGGCTCACAGTTCAACAATGCAGAAACAAAATTAATCTTGACAATGGTGTGAATGCCCTTTCACCTTTAGTATTTTCCACCTAGGACGAATTTAAAAGAAAACAAACCCTTTTCTATCTTTTGGAACATCTGCATGCTGGATGACTCTTAATTCTTTTGGAGGGGGGTAGTGGACAAAGTGAGGTAATGTATCCCACCCCCACATGCCAGATGTCTTCTGGCCTCTACGCTGCCTATATTTCTGATTTTTCTCCTCCCTGTCCTGCTTTTTTGCAATCTGTTAACTTTCCCCAAACTTTTCACACCTGTCATGCAATGAGATGCTGCCAGAAATGTCTCCTAGGACCGCCAGCATCTGGAGAAAAAAGAGAAACCTCCAGAAAATGAAATAAAATTTATTGGGGGTGGGGGAGGGAGAGTTTTTACACAGTCATAGAAGGGAATTTATCTTGTATCGTTGTGGCTTATCTGTGTTCCTGGCATCTTCCCAACTGTGTGAGTTTTGCCGTGCTTTCAAGACTGAAATTCCTTCTCCTGCCCTGCCAAACTAATTGCTTCAGTTTGGTTTGTTTGTATTTTAAGTTACAGTTTGTGTGTACCTTGTTTTGGACTGAATTTTCTCACTTAGAGGCTGTTCCTGGGAGAGTTTTTCTCCAGTCGAAGGTGACCTGGACATTAGGGTCAAAGTTGGAGACAATAAAGGGACTCTTATTGCTTATTTGACTTGTGTTGCCTTTGTGCCACACCCATTTGGGTCATCACACTCACTTAGCGACCATTTGACTAATAACTGAAATGATTCACTTTACAACTATGGCAAGTTGGGGCAAGAGTCACTTAACAACAGATTTGCTCAGCAACAGAAATCTGGAGCTCCATTGTGGTCGTAAATCAAGGACTACCTGTTATTGATTTTTAAGCCCTAACCCTCGAGAGGAAGAAAATGGCCAGTTTGACTTAAGTCCCTTAAGCCAGCCTAAAACTCGATTTTGCTTTTTTAAAAAAGCATGCAGATGACATTTCCCTCCCTTTATATATTTTATATAAGAAACAAATGCAAAGAAAAACAGAACCGAAGCGCCCCCCCCCCCCTCCGATTTTCATATAAAAAACAGAAAAAGGGAAAAAAAGACATCTTTTTGAGTTTTAAAGATGGTATAAAAATGTACAGCTTCCATTAAGAAACGTAGTTTTCAGCGTGTCAAGAGTAGAAATATGAAGGGGGGGGGGGGGGGGGAAAAGCACCGTTTTGAAAGAGTTTCGAATCAAAATGGATCCGTATGGAAAGGCTGGATGGATGCTGAGAAAGGATCATAATATATATATATATATATTTTACAATTATTTAAAAAGCAACTTGGAATTGATAAAGGTTGAAAGGGAAGAAGTCCCAGCGGTAAAATATTGTCTCTGTATCATTCAGATTTGCTAAAACAGCACCGGCTGACTTCCCTGAATCGAAGGAAAGGAAAAAGAAAAAAAAATGCTTTTCTTTGCTACAAAGGTTATTTTTAAAGTTTGGCAACCTAGTTTTTCTGCACAACAATATATAGAGATATAGATATTTATTTATATATGTCATTCATGTCAAATTTTATTTTATTTTTTCCTTTTATATTCCAGAAGATACAAAGCTTTGGAGGATTTCTGCCCAACCACCCGCTCGCCTAGTTAACCCCTTGTTAATATTGTCTTTCCCCCACTTTTTTGTTTAAATGGATTTTAATTTTCCCCCCCTTTTTACAAAAATGTGAGTCGCTTAACGAATACAGGAATTTCTGTTGTGTTTAATTCTCCCTCCCGCTGCCCCCACCACCCGTACACACCCTTTTTTTATGTTTTAAATTACAAAGGACACAGCAGGCACTGGAAAAAAAAAATTCCCTCAAATTAATAATCTTGCTGGATTCAAAACCAACAACAGCAACACAAATAAACCAGATAATGTGCTTTCCAAAAAACCACACCGTTTCGGTCAATATGGCAACCAAATAATTTGTTTTTAGCAGCCATGAAAGAAAGAAGCCATCGAAATCCCAAAAAATAAAAATGAAAATCCAGCTTTTGTTTTCTAATCACAGACTTAAGACCACCCCCCCAAGAAATTAACATGGTTAAAACTCAAAAAGACCACTACATATAGTCCTTAACTTACAACCATTCGTTTAGGGACCGTTTGAAGTTGCAATGACTTATGACTCTTTTTCACACTTACGACCATTGCCGAATCTCCATGGTCACATGATCCAAATTCGGATTCTTGGCGACTGGCTCGTACTTATGACGGTGGCAGTATCCCCTTGTGGGACTGCCTGACAAGCAAAGTCAATGGGGAAGCCAGATTCACTCCAGACCGGCGTTGATTTGCTTAATGACGGCGGTAGAAAGGTTGCAAAATGGGGGCCAAACTCACTTGGCTTAGCAATTTGGGGCTTGGTCATAAATCAAGGACTACCTCTAGACACTGCGTACAGGAAGAGATGATGATTGTATGCCTCGATGAATCTCGGATGGCAATGAAACCAGAGGCCACTTTTCACCCACGAATGTCAGTTTCCTCAAGTATATAACCCTAATTACAGACTAAAAGTGCTACTATCCTTTTAGTTCGATGGAATTTGCTATCAGGTCTATGGGATGACCGAAGACCTAAGCCTTCATTATATCCGTATAGGGATATTTTTGAGTTTTTATTTCCTTTTTCTTTTGTTTTTCTTAAAAAACCCAATCAACAGCAAGTTTATATATATAATAAAACTTGGGAGACGGAAAGGAGCGGTTTCTGATGAAAATGACCGAAAGAATGGAGGGTTTTGGGTTAGATCTGACCCTTTTTTAAATCAAATGTGCTGTCCATGGTAGATGGTATAATGGGAAGAAACATTGTGGTTCAGGATAGGGGAAATTAGATCAGCTGGAATCTAATTGGACATTAGAACCGATTGGAAATTAAGAAAGACATCATCCACTGGGGGGAAAAAAGCAGCTATGCTGAGTTGAGATTTCTGTTAGTTTCTTTTTTCGGAAGAGTAAAACCGCAATTGCACCGTTTGCGCATCGGTTTCTTTGTCCAAAATCAGGCAGAGGTCAAAAAAGGGGAGATGAACTGTACACAAGAATAATGAGAGATAAGCAACGTGGGATGGCCTGAACTTGAAAAGCAGATTGGAGCTCACGTCAAAGTTGGCTTGCATCTCCTCCCCCCCCCCCAAGGCCTGACCAAACCACGTTTGTTTTGTGTTCGGTTTTCCTTTCTCTCTTTTCATCCAAACCCCTCCAATTCAGCACAATCTCTTGTGTTTTCCCCCGAGGATCAAAATGAAAACTTCAACAATGGCCCACAAAAAAAAAGGGGGGGATTCTTTTTTAAAAATTAACAGGAAAGAAAGAAAGAAAGAAGAAAGAAAGAGAAAGAAAGAAAGAAAGAAAGAAAGAAAGAAAGAAAGAAAGAAAGAAAAATGAAAGGAGGGAGGACGGACGAAAGAGAGGGGGGAGGGGGAAAGAACAAAAGAAGAGGGAGAGAAGGAAAGAAGTAATGGAGAAAGGAAAGGAGGGAAGGAAGGAAGGAAGAGAAGGGACAGAAAAAAGGAAGGGGAGGAAGAGAAGGAGGAAATGAAGAAAGGAAATAAGAGGTAGGAGAGAAGGAAGAAAGGAAGGAAGGAAGGAAGGAAGGAAGGAAGGAAGGAAGGAAGGAAGGAAGGAAGGAAGGAAGAAAAAAAGAAAGAAAGAAAGGGAGAAAAAAAGTGCCTTTTTAAAGAACTATACTATCATATGAAATATCCTGGAGATTTTCATTCAGAACACCTTTTTGGTTCTTTTTTTTTTTTTGTCCCCACTTCCCCTTTCTTTCCTCTTCTCTTGACCTTCATCTCCCAACTTGGCACCATCTATGCTGAAGAGTCCACAAAGAACCAAATCCAGTTGGCCTAAACTTGCCGTTCTCTTTCGGAATTGTGATCCGTCCTGCTGGGAGGTGGAGAGAGAGATCCGTTTTCCATTTTGCCTTCTTCTTCTTCTTCTTCTTTTTTCTTTTCCTGGATGGGAAGGTGAGGTTTTCTTCCAGAGCAGAATGGTCGAGCAAACCCTCCAGAGATCGAGTTGATGGATGTTCTCCTCAACGTCCAAGCCTGCAGCTTTGGCTGGTTTCACCGATTCTGCGGTCAGAATGGCAGTGATGGATAATGCAAACCTTTTAGGTCTGTGTGTTGGTGTTTGTCTCTATGTTGTGTGGTGTGTGTGTGTGTGTGTGTGTTTGTTTGTCGAGTCTTCTTTGAGTCGAGGGGAAACAATGACAACAAGAATTGTAAAACAAGCGGCTGGATTTTAGCCCTGCAGAAAGAAGAATCAAGGAAGGTTAATTTCAAGGACAGAGACGATGAGGTAGGTTTCGCAGCCGAGAGACGGGAAGAGAGAACAATACCAGGCCCTCCCCATGCAAAACCAACATATAGATTCAAGCAATTATCCCAGCCTCTAATTCCATCCCCATGGTGAGAGATGTCCCTTACATTGATTGTGTGCAATTCTCGTTTCAAAATATTTATGATTTAAGGGACCATCTGAGCTTGCTTGTTTTCCTGCAGATGATTCATTCTCCAAACTGGGTAACAGCCCTCTCTAAGCCGTTTGACAGACTCAGCCTCTTGCCCCCCAACAATCTGGCCTCGGAAGGATGGAAGGCTGAGTCGACCTTGAGCTAGTCAGGATCGAACTCCTGGCGGTGGGGCAGAGTTAGCCTGCAATGCTGCATTCTAACCACTGTGCACCATGGATGGATGGATGGATTGGTGGGTGGGTATGTGGGTGGGTGGGTGGGTAGAAGGAAGGAGGGAAGGAAGGAAGGAGAAAAGAAAGAACAACAGCAAATAGCAGATTTTTATACCGCTTCACAGTGCTTTACAGCACCTCTCTAAGAGGTTTACAGAAGCAGCCTATTGCCCCCAACCGTCTGGGTCCTCATTTTACCCACCTTGGAAGGAGGGAAGGCTGAGTCAACCTTGAACCAGTGAGAATCGAACTCCTGGTTGTGGGCAGAGTTAGCCTGCAATACTGTATTCTAACCACTGTGCACGATGGATGGATGGATGGATGGATGGATGGATGGATGGAAGGAAGGAAGGAAGGAAGGAAGGAAGGAAGGAAGGAATAGCAACAGCAGTTAGACTTATATACCGTTTCACAGTCCTTTACAGCTCTAAGCGGTTTACAGAGTCAGCCTGTTGTCCCCAATTATCTGGATCCTCATTTTACCAACCTCGGAAGGGTGGAAGGCTGAGTCAACCTTGAGCCAGTCAGGATCGAACTGCTGGCGTGTGGGCATAGTTAGCCTGCAATGCTGCATTCTAACATTCCCTGAGCCACCCAGGCCTTCTTTACACCTGCTTCTATCCTGAAAGGAGCCAGATCGACGGAGAGAGAGAGGGAGAGAGAGAGAAAGAGAAAGAGAAAGAGAAAGAGAGAAAACAAGCCACGATGCAAAATCATGCAGAAATGGAAACAAGTTAATCATCTTTTGCCAACGATTGGGGGGGGGAGAATCAAACCTACCATGCATGCACAATGTTAGACCCAGGAGTCAACAGGCTGGGGCTTACTATCCCGCGTGTCCACCAGAGTCACCGAAGGCCTGTTGCTCCTGGTGAGCGTTTTCCTATTTGTGTCATTCTGCAGCGAGGCGTTTAAAAAAAAAAAAAAAAGGCAAAACACAACAGGTTAAATCGATCAAACGGACCGGCAAAACACAACCCATTCCATTCCAAAAAGTCTGCCAGGAAGCATTAGTTGCCAAGACAGGGAATCAATCATGAGGAAAGAGAAACAAGAAGATCTCAGTGTGGCCCACGGCTAACGACCGACCGCCGTCATTCGGAAGACTAAGCAAGATCCAAGGAAGCAGGGCTGGGGTTGACACTCAAAAAAAACCCAGACTGCTTCACGGGTGGCGGGGTGGAGGTCGTCCTCGACTTACAATAACCACATAGCCCCCGGTTTTCTGTTCCCGCTAAGCAAGACCCTTTGTCCCAGAGTTTGCTTCGGCCCAGTTTGCGACCATTTCTTGCTGTGGGTTTGTTAAGGGGATCCCTGCAGGAGTCAAAGTTAGTCACACAGGCCGTTAAGCGGATCCGGCTTGTCGGAAGGTCGCCAAAAGGGCATCGTGTGACATCCCCACCCGAACAACCCCCTCCAGGGGACACTGCGACCGTCAGAAATATGGATTGTTTGCCCGGCATCCTAATATCGATCGTGTCGTAAGCCAAGGATGACCTGTACTCGTGAACAAAGGCTGGACGATTCGCAACGTTAAGCTCCCGTGTACACATGCATCAGAAGCAGTGGTAGTTTTGTGTGTGTGTGTGTGTAACTGCTGTGCCGTAGCCAGCTATTTCACCAGAGAGTGAAATAATATGGCATAGGAACCTCACCGGATATTTCCTGCCTGGTGGACACTGGACAAAGTTGGACCACTAGTTCAAGGACCAACGTGGTTGGTCAGCCCTGGTGGAAGGGTGCACACACCAAGCTCAACTACGAAGAGTTTGCTTGCCCCTGATCGTTGGCCCAGTTGGAACTATTTGTAACTTTTGGGTTGATTTGGGTTGATAGATGGTCAAATTTTCTAGGGGTGGATTACAACAACAGCTTGTGAACCAGAGAGTTTTCAAAACTTTTGATTTTGTTCTGCTTCCCCTGTTAACGTTCTTCCAGTTCACTGCTTGGTCCCTGATACAACACGGAGAAGACAAGTCAACAAGTTGCAAGTAGATTTAGTCGTTTTGAAATATTTGAGAAGGCTTGTTTGGCAAGCGGGTGGGAACTAATGTTGTAGTAAGATATTAATCAGTATTCAATTAGATGGAATAATATATAATGTGTGCGTGTGTTTTATGTACCTTTTTAATGCTTTGTTTTGTGTGTTGTTTTCTTTTTTTGTCTTCTTGGTTTCCTCCCCCCCCCCGGCCTGAGTTTTGTACTTTGTATTTTCATTTGAACAAAGTAATAATATATATATATATTTAAAGAGCGTGCTTTTTTTTGGGTCTGTCTTACAAGGGGCAATGCCTCCATTGCAACCCTGCGATTGTCAGAAGTGTGCTGTGAAGAGCACTAGGAAATGTCTTCCTCTCCAATGTCATGGCCACTCATAGTGGCGGTCGCCTGGAAGCAGGCACACACGCTCTGCCTTGCTCCCTTCTGCAAATGCAGGGCAGACCAAAAGGCAGCGTTGCAAGGAAACGGTCTCCAAAGAGAGCTTGTTGTGGCCTATTGACTGCCAGCCCATCCAGCAACCAAATCAGAGGAGGAGGAGGAGAAGGAGGAGGAGGAGGAGGCGTGGGAATCAGGGTTAAGCATCAAGGCAACCTGAGAGCTCTGAGGGGGAAGAGAGAATGGAGCTGGCAGAGAGAGAGACAGAGGCAGTGCCTGGGCCGTCTGTCAGCCCTCAGATGGAGAGTCAACAGCCCCCAGTCTGGAGGTGGCTGATGAGGAAGAGGAGGAACAGCTGGGTCCAATGCCTGACACATGAATGCACAGAAGGCAGAGGAGAGGAGAGCAGTGGAAATCTATGGGACGGTCCTTGGGACGGAAGAGCCACTGCAGCTAGCGAAGCCCCAACCCAGCTCTGGGGATTAAAGGCAGGGGGTGGAGATGAATAGATGTGACAGAAAACTATTCATCTCCTGGACGGACAGTCTTGTTATCCTGCGGTGAGAGAGAAACATTTTGCTGGGGTTGCTGGCTCTCCTAATAAAGGAATTATTGATTTGACGCCAGAGGGTTTGTCGTGTTTGGGGAGCTGGGTCAGAACCGAGCTACTTACCTTTAGGGGTTCTTTCTCTGATGCGTCTCCCATATTGTCATTGGTTTTGTATTTCCGCTCCTTATCCCGGTGATCGATGGTGGAGTAGCCATCTGTGAAGAACAGACACTGGTTGGAAAGAGAACTCGGTCAATACCTGTCAACCTTTAGAGGTTGCCCAGACATGAAGCATCAATCATGAGCACAGGTCGTTACGCTCGAGTTACGACCACAATGGAGCCCAAAATTTAGGTTGCTTGTGAAGTGAGTTTCGTTTGTTGAGTGAGTTTTACCCCGTTTTACGACCTTTCTTGCCAAGAGTTGCTAAGTGAATCATGGCAATTGTTAAATAGCAGCATGGTCATTAAGTGAATCTGGCTTCCCCATTGACTTGGCTTGTCAGAAGGTCACAGGACCCTGGGACATTGCAACCATCATAAATACGAGCCAGTTGCCAAGCGCCCGAATTTTGATCACATGACCATGGAGATCTGTCTCGCACTCTCTCTGTCTCTGTTTCTCTCTGTCTCTCTCTCTCTCTCTCTCTGTCTCTCTCTCCAAATGGAATCCCTCCAAGCACTGATGATACTGTCTCTCTGTCTCTGTTTCTCTCTGTCTCTGTCTCTCTGTCTGTCTCTCTGTCTCTGCTTCTCTGTCTGTCTCTCTGTCTCTGTCTCTCTGTCTGTCTCTCTGTCTCTCTCTGTCTGTTTCTCTCTCTGCCTCTCTGTCTCTGTTTCTCTCTCTGCCTCTCTGTCTCTGCTTCTCTGTCTGTCTCTCTGTCTCTGTTTCTCTCTGTCTCTCTGTCTGTCTCTCTGTCTCTGTTTCTCTCTGTCTGTTTCTCTCTCTGCCTCTCTGTCTCTGTCTCTCTCTGTCTGTCTCTCTGTCTCTGTTTCTCTCTGTCTCTGTCTGTCTGTCTCTCTCTTTCTGTCTCTGCATGTCTCTCTCTCTGTCTCTGTCTCAAGCTGCAAACAAGAAGGCATGCACAAGAGACTCAGACAGACACCTTCTTTATTCACGTGAGTATAAGGGGTGAAGGCATAGTTAAGCATAGTCAGACTGGCAAGGTTCTGCTACTGTGACTACCACTGAAAAGACTTAAATTGGAGATGGATGACAGCTATTCTGCTGAGTAAAAAATGTGACACTCCAGAATGAGTGATAGGGTTGATTATAGTACCAATGTCAACCCTGAAGCTGGCCTGTCTCAGGCCATTTTGAGACTTCAATGCTGACACATTGGAGCCGAGGGATAGGGAGGGAGGAATAGAGACAGTTGGGGTATAGTGGTCAAAACAAAACACTGTCTCTTGGGAACCAAGGACATTCCTGCAGGTGTTCGGAAGGAGGGAACTAGGGTAGTTACCTGGCCCAAGCTCATCCATTGGAATCATATCCCGGCTTCCAGTCTTCTCATTATCTATAAAAAGGAAGAAATGGAACTCGGTTTGTGAGGGATCCAAGTCCAGGACATCATTCTTGAAGAACACAGAATTCTCTAAGCCAAGGGGGAGAGCTTAAACCAATGCCTGAGCCAGCGCTTTCAAAACTTGGCCACTTTAAGATGGGTGGACTTCAATACCCAGAATTCAGGCAGCAGGCTTTAAGAGGTCTGGGCTTCAACTCCCAGAATTTCCCAGCTAGCATGCTTTAAGATGGGTGGACTTCAACACCCAGAATCCTTAGGACAGCATGCTTTAAGAAGTCTGAGCTTCAACTCCCGGAACTGCTCAGCCAACATGCTACGATGCATTGTTTTGCCCAGTGGAAGTTAACAAACGATCAATCAGACTTGAAACTTAGAAGGGTGCAGGGTTTGCAGGGAGGAGGGAAGAGGAGGAGGAGGAGGAAGAAGAAGAAGAAGAAGAAACTCTGAGGATTTTTGTCCTCTCTGAGCTTTTCTTGCAGATGTTTCATTACCCAAACTAGGTAACATCATCAGTGCTAATGGATGTTTCCACTGCTGTGGGTTTATTTTTGCCTTTCTATTGCCACTGGCTATGAGATCCCACCCTCATTTTTATGATTTAGGGTAAGAGTCCCCAACCCTCGGCCCGCTACCACGATCTATTTGCATCTAGGCCACACAAGCTACAGGCTGGCATGCACACATGGGCATAGCTTGTCTTGCACACGCAGCTCAACTCACGCTAGTGGCAGGCCGGCGCACATACACATGCATATACAACTCAACGAGTTGAGTTGCGTGTGCATGAATGTGTGTGCGGGCCCACTGCTCAGGTGGCCGGGTTCCTCTCTTCCCCTGCCCACCCACCCCCCGCCCCAGCCAGGCTGCCAAGCCGCAAAGTTTGGGGACCGCTGATTTAGGGAATGGCCTAGAACGCATTGCCCCCTAAGGCGGCATCGAAATGCAATGAAATAAGTAAAACCTCATTTCACTTGGAGCCAGTCATAATGAAGCTCTTGGAAAGGAGCACAAACAGACCTTGGCTTTTATCCACCAGGGGCAACGTGCTATCGTCATATCCAGATTTACAAGAGGTACTTTTGGATCCCTTCGTAGTTGCTGAGGCAGTCTGGAGCGTTAAAAGCAAAGGGCGATTATCAGCAGTTGGCATACGACAGAGTAGAAAGCAAAATCCATGTTGAAAACCAATTGTGAAATACGCCGTTTCCAAAAAACAACAACCCAACAACAACCCTCTCCCCCTGCCCGACTACTTATACCTGGTGTCCCTATGACATGATAGGGTTTCCCCCTACACCTGAGAATACAGAATGATATACTTTTATCCAGTCCAATGATCTTGATGGATCTGGGTCTCCTTCAGGTGGGGAATTCATCTTTGTAAAATTATTTCCTCCAGTTGAGGGGGGCAGCCTGTCAAGCCTGAATTTGGTGAGATGGTAGATGGGTTTATATCTGGGTTATTCATATGAATTCACAGTTGGGAGCTGAAAGGGGGGAGAGCTGAGGTGGATGGAGTTCCAGCCAAAACAACACAGCTGGATGATGAGTCAGTTGCATTCCAACAGCTGCCTGGCCAGAGGAAGGAGAAGCGAAGTTGTCAGGCAACTGTTCCACATCCCGGTTGGACAATGTGACAGATTGTTTTGGAAAATTGAGAACATCCTAGTTTACATTGACGTGGAAAGCCCAGAAATTTTCAGTACTGACTTTCTACTCATTAGTGCCAAGATGGTGTGTATCAATAAGCTTGTTCTTTGAGGAAGTGAAATGCCCCGGAGTTCATTTTATGATGGCTGCATTTCTTGGAACCTGACAATTTTGCAATATAGCAATCTGTCTTTATTTGCCGGTGTGAAAGAATGACTATGTTGCAGGGGGCATCGTGAGCTAAATTCCTATCTGTTCTTTTTTATTTATTTGTTTTTTTGTTGAATCCCACCTGCATTTTTTTTTTTTTTTTTTTTACATATAACTCAACCTTCCTCCTTTTATTTTCCCCATAACCACCACCCTGTGAGGTGGGTTGGCTTGAGAGAGAATGGTTGGCCTAAAATCACCTGTCAGCTTTCATGCTTAACTAAGGTGAAACTAGAACTCACTATCACTAAGATGATTGGCCCAAAGTCAACCAGTTGAGTTTCATGGCTAAAATGGAACTAGAACTCACCATCACCTGGTGATTGGCCCAAAGTCAACCAGTTGGGTTTCATGGCTAAGGTGGAACTAGAACTCACTATCATGTGGTGACTGGCCCAAAGTCAACCAGTTGAGTTTCATGGCTAAGGTGGAACTAGAACTGACTATCACCCGGTGATTGGCCCAAAGTCAACCAGCTGGGTTTCAGGTCTAAGGTGGGACTTGAACTCACAATCTCCTGCTTTCCAGCTTGGTGCCTTAAACACCAGACCAAACCAGTTCTCAGCTCTTGCTAGCAGTTCTCAGCTACAAACTGCATGGGCTTCCTTACCTGGAAATGAGATTTATTCCAGCCTTCCTTCTGCAAAACATTCCTTAACTCTTTGTAGCTCCAAGTCATTTGAAGAACGTGAGAAGCTGCTTTCATTTCTCTGGAGGACTGGCTGATTTTGAAGAGGCGGGGAGAGGGAAATACACAGACACAGAAAGAAAGCCAACAAACATCAAATGCAGAAGAACTGGCCAGCCAGTCTCTTTAACGTATCTGTAAAATCATTGCAAAGACGTTGTGCCGCCTTGTGCGACTTCCCGGGTGTCTGCAGGCTATGCAAGAGCACACCCCATTCTTGTGTGGGGCCCCCATAGCCTCCATGCAAGAACAGTGTCCTTTTGACAACAGTTGTTAGACGTTGATGAATAGTGGAGTGTCACCCTGAACATTGTGTTGTGTCATCTTTGACATATGTGTCATAGATTCGTCTTCACTGCCCTAGAAAGGCAGTCTTTATGTCAGGCTAAAACACAAACACACACACACCTCTTTTCTCTAATGATTTCCTTGAGTCATTGCTATGAATTAGGCTGCCACATTCAAATCTATATATATATAAGCGAAATACCACTCAGGGATCATCACAAAATCACCATAACCTTAAACCCTACAAACTTGAAATCGGACACGTATGTTCCTCTTGGCTTCTAGGTGCTCACTAAGAAAGGATTTTTTGAAATGACCATCAGAGCATTTAGAGTATTTCCTATATTATTATTATTAACACACTCTGATGCTAAGGAGTTCTACTCCCTCTCCCCACCTGAAAAGAAATCTCTTCCAAATGCAAAACACAAGCAGAGGAGTTTCAGTTTCAGTTTCACAGCACCAAGCAGCTTTAGGACAGAACAGTTGAGCTAAGCCACGCCCAAGCTCCTTGCTGTCTCCTTCTTGCTTACACAGCAAATATTGTTTCAGTTTCCAAACAGCCCTCAACTCTCTCACACACTGACTGGATGCTAGCCAGATGAAGACTGATGGATGCTGGTTGGCAGAGGCAGAATTCTCTCTCCCCCTCCCTTATTTTCCTCTCCAAAAACTAAGCCCGACCACATAGTTTCATAGCGAAGCATGAGTACCGAGCTGGTTAGTAAATAATAGAACAGAGCTGTTGGAATCCAAATAAGGATATATTTTTTTCAGATTTTTCCTGCCAACGCCTGCACATCAGCCCCTATATTTTATTAACAATCTCCTCCCTGCTTTCCATATCTCTGAATATTCACAAAGGACAAGCATCTCCCCTTTTGACAACAAATGTCTGGATCCTCTTAAAGGATGAGGCTTGATGCATGTACGCTCAATGCTGAAACAGGGGATTTTGTCCCGGGATTGATTGATGGGTTTCATCGGATTGATTTTGCCTCTGTGTCCACTCCAGCTTATGGCAGATTTAAAGATGCGTGGCGATGGCATCTGTTTTAAGTGCTCGTCTGAAAGACGAGAGGGCCCTCGCTTCTGAAATGCAAAAGACGGCTGAGATTTGGGGTTTCTTGTTTCAAGGACCGTCCATCTTACAACCTCGCAATGTTGCAACTCAATCAAGAGACGTTGGGCTTCAAAAGTTGACAGAGTTAGCAGAGATGGCTAAATTGACCGCCTTAATTCAAGGAAAGAATGCCACCAACTTCGTTTCTACTTGGAAACTGCTGCTGGGTTTTGTGCCTGGAGTTGTGGGGGGGAATTGAAACTTTGATCTTGGGTTTTGCTGATCAAGTAGGTTTGTTGTTATAAAAATGGCTAGCATATACCATTGTGCAAAAGTAGAAAGTTGAGGCTGTGTATAGATACATAGAACCTTATTCTATTACGCTATATTATAGAATATAGAACCTTATGATAGGTAGGTAGGTAGGTAGGTAGATGCTACATAGACAGACAGAGATAGATAAGAGACAGATAGACAGACAGATGATAGACAGAGATAGATCAGAGATAGACAGACAGATGATAGGATTGATAGATGATAGACAGACAGAGATAGATGATAGACAGACAGACAGAGATTATAGGATAGATAGATGATAGATACATAGACAGACAGACACAGATAAGAGATAGAGACAGACAGAAGATAGGATAGATAGATGATAGACAGATAGAGATAGATAAGAGATAGATGATAGGATAGATAGATAGATGATAGACAGACAGACAGACAGATGATAGGATAGATAGAAAGATAGATAGATAAATGATAGATAGATGATAGATAGATCCTATTATAACTAAAAAGAGTTGGAAGTCAATGCTTTTTTAAATTTTTCCCTTTCCCCTATTCTTTTTCCTCCTTTTCTTTCCCATTATTTTCATTTTCTTTGTATTTTATACTTCGATAAACTAATAAAAATTTGTCAATCGCAAATCAAGAGACTTTCACATTTCCCAGATTGGCAATAACGAAATGTGTGTCTTCAGGAGCATGCTGCGAGGTTGGCTTTTTTTTTTCTTCTTTTTTTTGAAATGTAGGGTAGGTGTGATGATTAAACGGGAAAGTTTAGAGAGAGAAAGAGAATCACAATGTCACTTCAGAGAGAGAGAGGTTTTTTTTATGATTAATGTTCAGCATTGTTACAGTAGCCAGGAGAACACAATGCTATTACAGAGTAGTGGGTAGTTTGACTTGCCAAGGGTCCAGCCCTGTTGTGGGACACACTTGCATGCTACCCAAGATGCTCCACAAGAGGGCAAAGCTTGCATGGCACTAGAGAGAAAGACCAGTGGCTTTTCCTGTAGCATCACCCAAAGTCCCCTCCCTTCCTGGAGCTGCAAACAGGCACCACAACCAGGAAGGTTCAGAGCGAACTGACTGCTGCCAGTTCAGACTGCCTGCCCAGAGCACCAAATACAGTATATCTCCCCCACAGAAGTGGTACCTATCTATCTACTTGCATAGAACTTCCTATTGAACTATTAGGTGGACAGGAGCCCACTGTCAGGATTCCAGCATTTACCCCCAATTTAAATCATGAGTCTCGAGCCAAACTTCCAAAACTTCAAAAGGATTTATTGGAAGTTAACATGTCCGGCACTGCCTGGGTGTAGCCGACTCTGAGACACATCATTCACTGCCACCCTTGACCCTGGTTTTCCCCTGACCCCTTGGGTGTATCGTAATTCATATCCTCCAATGGGACACATCCATAGCCAAGAGCCATCAATTGTGCTCTCCAGTTAGAATTTTGCGTGGCAGAAACTTCGGTCACCTAGTTACTATCTTTGAAAACATTTATGAAATGCACTTTCAGTTTGGAAGCTGCTGCACTGCTCCCCCCTCCCTTTCTGTTGGCAACTCTAAAAAGACCAGAGAAATATTTTATGAGTTGACACCCACACTGCCATGCAGTGTTTGGACTCGAACTGTCAGAGCTGAGACCACCTCTAGCATCATTAAGCCACGGAGCCACCGCGCCCCTATAAAGAGAGCGGTTAAACTATAATTGTACTTATCCCCGTTGGGAAGAATATCGGAAGTCACTTCTTTTAGGTATGGACTTCAACTCCCAGAATCCTCCAGGCAGACAGCTCTTGCTAAGAATTCTAGGAGTCAACACAACATCAAGTGCCTGAGACTAGGAAGTTGCAGAGTAGATGATGGGATTAAAAGTCATCCCGTCTTGATATTTTTGTACATTACCGGAATTATTATTTTTTGCAGATGCTAACCTGGATTTGCTGATAGCAACCAACTTTTGAATGCCTTGCGTCTGGATCAGGGACCGGGCATTTTCAGAACTGTCAGTAATAATTTCGTGGATGGTGTTTAGGACAGCAACTATTGTGTCTTCTTCAAGGTTTTTTGAAGATCGCTGTTGCCGGCTAGGCAAATTTCTTACCAGTTCTCCCATGGCATAGCTACCTGAAATCAAGAAGGCACGTGTTTGTCATTGCAAAGTGATTTTATTCCTGAAAAATAAGGTAGCTATAGTTAAAGGTACAACCTGTAAGGGTAGTCCTTGTCTTATGACCATTTGTTCAGCAGCTGTAGGAAGCTACAATTGGTGCTAGAACAAGGGACTTGCCACCGATTGTTGCTCTTATGAAGGTAGCTGTGTCCCCGGAATTAAAATAGCAACATTTGGGTGTTGGCAACTGGCATGCATTTACAAAGCTTGCCGTATCCTGAGGTCATGTGACCTTCCCAGCTGGATTCCAAGCATGCAAAGTCAACAGTTGAAGCCAGATTCACTTAATGACCATGTGATTTGCTTAATGGCCATGGCAAAAAAAGTCATAAAATCAGATTATTTCATGATTGCATCACCTAGCAACGGAAGTTCCAGTTCCAATTGTCATAAGTCGAGAATTACCTGTTCAGACCACCTGTACAGGTATTGTGTACAGGTAGTCCTCAACTTACGAACACAATAGTGCCTAAAATTTATGTTGTTAAGTGAGACCTTTGTTCAGTGAGTCTTGCCCCCATTTTATGACCTTTGTTACCACAGTTGTTAAGTGAATCATTGCAGTTGATAAATTAGCAACCCGGTTGTTAAATGAATCGGGTTTCCCCCTTGTCAGAAGATCGCAAAAGGGGATCATGTGACGCTGGGACACAGAAGTGGTCATAAGTATGAACTTGCCAAGCGTCTGAATTTTGATCACATCATCCTGGGGATGCTTCCAAGATTATTAACTATGAAAAATGGTCCTAGGTCACTTTTTCCAGTGCCGTTGTAACTTTGGTCACTAAATGAACCATCGTAAGTTGAGGACTATCTGTCCTTGCAATATGGAAAGACCCCTCATTCATTTTCCAGCACATATCCTAAAAATATCAGTGAGGCTTAGAACCAGAAGGGGTATTCAGCCAGTTCTGACCGGTTCTACAGAACTGGTAGCGGAAATTTTGAGTGGTTTGGAGAACCTGCAAATCCCACCTCTGACTGGCCCTGCCCCCATCTATTCTCCGCCTCCCAAGTCCCAGCTCATTGGCTGGGTCTTCTTTGGTTGCCCTGCACAGGAGAACGGAGCTGGAAAGCAGGCTAGTGGGGTGGGGAGGGAATGGGATTTTGCAGTAACCTTCCCCTGCCACGCCTACCAAGCAACTCCCACCAAGCAATGCCACGCCCACAGAACCGGCAGTAAAAAAAATTTGAATCCCACCACTGCTCAGAACCCTTTTATGACCCAGAAGTTTAAAACCGATTCCAGGAATCCCGTAACCCCACCAATCCAGCCTCACATTTCTGAGATCCATCAGCAAATTCGCGTGTTGGCCTCTCATTCATTTTTTTTTTTTACCCATCATATGTACCATTAACCTTTGTTGTTTGGTTTGGGGAATTTTAATTCTCCTCTAAATTTCACTGCAATTAGCCCAATTAAACTATATGGGTCCTTGTGGACTACCAGCCATTATAAAGCATTTATTTCACGGGTTACAGCGGCCAGTTGTTTCTACATTATTAAAGTTGGGATTTTTTTTCCCTCTCTCTCTCCAGATTGAAAAGGAAGACAGGCAGCTCCAATGTGGTTGTTAGAGAGGCATCCAGATGGCAAATGCAATGTGGGGAAAACCAGGATATAACTAAGACCGGATTCAAAAGTTTTAGAGTTCAAGTGGGTGCCTTAACAGCACGCCCCCCAATAGAAATTCTGGAAATGTAATCAGACACCTGATTCATATTACCATACATGGTGGACATGCCCAAAAGCCAAAAAAATATTGGACGAAAATACATACCTGGTTGGGGAAAAAAAAGATAAAACAGCATATAGACATGAAACCAGAAATATTGTTCGGCATTCTGCCAGAAAAATATGGTAAAGAATAGAATAGAATAGAATAGAATAGAATAGAATAGAATAGAATAGAATAGAATAG